CACCATGTTGGCCAGGCTTGTCTCGAACTCCTGACCTCAGGTATCTGCCTACCTCAGCCTCCCAAAGTGCTGGGATTATAGGTGTGAGCCACTGCCCATGGCCGGTTTTTGTTGTTGTTTTTTGTTTTTGAAACAGAGTCTCACTGTGTGGCCCAGGCTGGAATGCAGTGGCATGAACTTAGCTCACTGAAACCTCTGCCTCCTGGGTTCAAGCAATTCTCCTGCTAAGTTTGATACTTGATTAAGGTGGTAACCTCTGAATGTTCCATTGTAAAAGTGCATTTTCCCCTGTATAATTATCAGTTATCTGGAGGATGATATTTTGGGACTGTGCAAATATCCATTTCCTAAAACACTTTACTTAATAGCTTTATCATTTTATGTCCCTATTCCCCCTCCTTTCCTGCCCATAGGTAACCATTTATTCCTTGTTCATCCTTCTAGGGGGTAAGCAGATAATCCCCATTATTTGTGCATTCCTTATTCGCAAATTCACCTATTCACTAACATTTATTTGTAATGCCCAAATCAATGTTGGACGCTTTCATGGTCTTTTGAGGACATGCATAGAGAAGCAGAACATTTGAGTTGCCTATCACGTACATTCCCAGATGAGGTTAAACAGAGTGACACTGCCTTCTCGTGTCATCTCTCATACTATAAGTAAATGTCCCTTTTCTGGTACATTTAGTGCTGTATTTTCAGCATTTTTGCTATTTTTGTTGGTGATTTTGCTGTTTAAAGTTGCCTCCAAGCACAGTGCTAAAGTTTTGTCTAGTATTTGAAGGTACAAGAAGGTTGTAATGTGCCTTATGGAGAAAATGCATGTAATAAATAAGCTTCCTTCAGCTATGAGTTATAGGGCTGTTGGCCCTGAGTTCAGTGCTAATGAATCACAATATAAAGATGTTTTTAAATAAAAACACACATAAAACAAGGTTATATATTGGTCAGTTGATGAAAACATTGTCACCAGACGCTCACAGGAACTTAATTCTGTACTTCCCCTGGTAGCAATGGTTTAGTATTCACTAATTATTTGTTGGTGGCTACTTATAAAATCTAACTATCACAGGTACAGTAATGAGAATTAACTGTATGTCTTTCTATTCCTATCTCCTATCCTTTCTTACATAAAAATTAAAAATTTCTTTGTACTTTTTGTCTTTGAAAAATATTTCACTAAATAAAGAGAACTGTGTTCAAAAATCACTTGTGATGTTATGTTACCAATTTAATATGCAATTAGGTGTATTGGTTTTAGTATGCATTCAATTTTAAGCTCACCTTTTTATTTTCTATTTTTTGAATACGTAAGACATACACATGCATTAAAAGTCTCACTGTAAAGAAAGTTTTCACTTTCATCCCTATCGCCTCACCCATTTATAGTTAATCATTTTTGTGGTCTCTGGTTTAACCTTCCAGAGTTGTTTTGTTGTTGTTGTTGTTTTGAGACAGTCTGGCTCTTGTTGCCTAGGCTGGAGTGCAATGGCGCCATCTTGGCTCAGGGCAACCTCCGCTTCCCGGGTTCAAACGATTCTCCTGCCTCAGCTTCCCGAGTAGCTGGGATTACAGGCATGCACCACCATACCCGGCTAATTTTTTTGTAGTTTTGTAGAGATCGGGTTTCTCCATGTTGGTCAGGCTGGTCTCGAACTCCCAACCTCAGATGATCCGCCAACCTCGGCCTCCCAAAGTGCTGGGATTACAGGCGTGAACCACTGCGCCCGGCTTTTTTTGTTTTTGAGATAGAGTCTTGCTTTGTTGTCCAGGCTGGAGTGGTGGCATGATCTCGGCTCACTGCACCCTCCGCCCCCGAGGCTCAAGAGATTCTCCTGCCTCAGCCTCTCAGGAGCTGGGATTGCAAGCACGCGCCACCACATCTGGCTAATTTTTGTATTTTTTTGTATTTTCTTTTTTTGGTAGAGACGGGCTTTCACCATGTTGTCCCGGCTGTTCTCAAACTCTTGGCCTCAAGTGATCTGCCAGCGTCGGCCTCCCAAAGTTCTGGGATTACAGATGTGAGCCACTGCGCCCGGGGCCCAGAGGTTTTTTAAAATGCAAAAACTAATACATATATTTTTGTTTCCCTTCCTTCATTAAACTGCGCTTTTTTAAAAAAGAAAAAAAACCCGTATACGTTGGAGGTCACTTTATATTGGTACTGCGAAATCATCCTCATGTTTTATTTTTATTTTTTTATTTTTATTTTTATTTTTTGAGACGAAGTCTCGGTCTGTCGCCCAGGCTGGAGTGCAGTGGCCGTTTCTCAGCTCACTGCAAGCTCTGCCTCCCAGGTTCACGCCATTCTCCTGCCTCAGCCTCCCGAGTAGCTGGGACTATAGGCGCCTGCCACCTCGCCCGGCTAGTTTTTTGTATTTTTTAGTAGAGACGGGGTTTCACCGTGTTAGCCAGGATGGTCTCGATCTCCTGACCTCGTGATCCGCCCATCTCGGCCTCCCAAAGTGCTGGGATTACAGGCGTGAGCCACCGCGCCCGGCCTCATCCTCATGTTTTATAGGCCGCGTGTTTACTTATAAGTACTCCATGGTTTAGTCAACTCATTGGAGCAAGCGTTTTAAAGTGTGGCGGATTGACAGTCCACTTGGAATCAGAATACCTGAGTTCAAATCCTGACTCCACCACTTAACTCGTCGTTTCATCTTGAGCAAGTCCTTTACCATTTTTGTGTCTCAGTTTTCTCATCTGTAAAATGAGGCTGTTGTGGAAAAGACAGCACACAGCTCATTGGGCTGTCATGAGCAACACATCAATTCATACATTTAAAGTGCTTATGACGGTGCATGGCGCATACGAAGCCCTCAAGTTAAATAAAAACGGGGTAGGTGGGAGCGATGAAGATTTATAACAGCTTCCAGTAAATGTCGAGGCACAGTATTTCCAGAGCTTGTGCGAAGTAGGGAACCCAACAGCTCTCACAGCCTTCAAAGAAGGGGGATCCTGGGTCCGGGAAGCTCGGCCGCAGTCGTGGAATGTCTAGGGCAGCGGTGAGAGCGCTGTGGCTGGCTCAACGCAGCCCGACACCAGGGAAGACGCTCTGGCCCTCAATTTCCCGGCAGCAAAGGAGCGCGAGGTGATCTCCACTTTCAGCCTACTCGGTCCGGGGTTGCAAACTGCTAGGTGCGAGTGGCTGCGGCGCAGGCAGCCGGGACCAAGCAGGGATCGTAACAGGGTCGAGCGCGACCCGGGACAGGTCCGGGGGCGGAGCTGGGCCGGGGCTCGCCCGGGAAGGGGCGGAGCTGCGGCGGTGGCGCCAAATCGCGAATATGGCGCCGGAGCGGTTGCGGAGCCGGGCGCTCTCTGCCTTTAAGTTGCGGGGCTTGCTACTCCGGGGGTGAGTGGGCTTGGGCAGCTTGAGGGGCGAGAGGGAAGAGCTGGGGCCCGGCTGCCTCGTGCGGCAGCGGGACGCACCGCGGCGGCTCCCCGCGCGCGGAGAGGGGGCTTGATCTTAAATGACAGAGTTCTAAGAAGCGGCCGGGCGTGGTGGTTCACGCCAGTAATCCCACCACTTTGGGAGGTCGAGGCGGGCGGATCACGAGGTCAGGAGATCGAGACCATCCTGGCCAACATGGTGAAGCCCCGTCTCTACTAAAAATACAAAAATTAGCTGGGCGTGGTGGCGCGCGCTTGTAGTCCCAGTTACTCAGGAGGCTGAGGCAGGAGAATCGCTTGAACCCAGGAGGAGGAGGTTGCGCTGAGCCGATATCGTGCGACTGCACTCCATCCTGGCGACAGAGAGAAACTCCATTAAAAAAAAAAAAAGTTCTAAGATCTTGAGGCTGCCGTGCCTTCTTTGGTTTCACCGACCCGTGCAAGGAGTTTAATGTTTCTTCTAGGCGGGCCCGGGCTCTTTTCACGTGTCAAACTGAGCCCGAGAAGCGGCAACCTGTCTATGGCAGCCGGTTATCAGCGTTGGTGACCCGGTCAGCTCTCAGGCTCCGGGGAAGGTTGCTGAGACATCAGATGAGAGACCCAAAACAGCCCGCTCGCACGTCTGCAGTTGCCAATTTATGTGAAAGTCAGGTTTCCTGGACATATCTGTGTTTCTGAGGACCTATAGAACATATTCACCTTTCCAAGATTTTTCTCATTAAATCTGTTACGTGTTTTAGAGTTGTGTGTGTGTGTGTTTTTTTTTTTTTTTTTTTTTGAGACATGGTCTCACTGTCGCCCAAGCTGGAGGGCGGTGATGCGAACTTGACTTACTGCAGCCTCAACCTCCTGGGCTCAAGTAGCTGGGACTACAGGCGTGGGCCACCATACCTGGCTAATTTTTTGTTGTATTTTTTGTAGAGACGGGGTCTGGCTATGTTGCCTAGCCTGGTCTTGAACTCCTGGGCTCCAGTAATCCTCCCGCTGTGGCCTCCCAGAATGCTGGAATTACAGGTGTGAACCACCGTGCCTGGCCTAGAACACAATATTTTATACATATTTAAATACCTGCTGAACTGGATATACCTCATTGTATCTGTTTTTATTGCTCTCGTGTGTGTAGATTTTTTGTTGGTTTTTGTGAGTTTTATGGGACTTTTAACTGTACTTTGGGTTAGTAATGGATATACCTTGGGGGAAAATAATGAGTTTTGTTCAATTGGTCCTTGACATTTTGAAAGCATGAGCAACTGATGAATTAACTTTCTTTTCACTTAGAATTTGACCTAATATTAAGCTTTTGTTCATTAATTATTTCAGTCATAAGTATACTTAAATCTGTTAGCTGCAAAGCACTGTGCTAGGGCAAGGGGCTGCAAGAGAGAGCAAGAGCTTTGTAGGGGGCAGATAGTGTATTCTATTGCTGCATGACAAATTACCCCACAACTTAGAGGCTAAAACAGTACACATTTATTATCTCACATTTTCTGTGGGTTAGGAATTCAGGTGTGGCTTCGTTGGGTCCTCAACTTCAGGGTCTTTTCACAAGGTTGCAGTCAAGATGGATCATCTCAAATGTTGACCAGGCAGCATTCGCTTCAAGCTCATTCCGTTGTTGGCAGAATTCAGTTCCTGATTGCCTTGCAGGCTGTTGGCTGGAGGCTACCCTCAGTCGCTTGCCATGTGTGCCCCCGACATGGCTTCATCAAGAGAGAGAGAGTCCGCTAGTAACTCTGAAGTAACCTAATCAAGGAAGTGACATCTTGTTATTTTTAAATTTTTTCTTTTCACTTTTAAATTTTACTTTCAAAATTACAATACAGTAAGTTTTTCTATCCCTTTTGCTATATTCTATTTTTAGAAACAAGTTACTAGGTCCAGCCCACACTTAAGGGCAGGGGATTACATAGGTGTAACTACTAGGAGTAATGGATTATTGGGGGCCATCTTAGAAGTCTGTCTACCATGGATATTAAATGACTATTTCACAGCTATTTAATCTCAATTGTGAAAGGGATTTCAGGAAAGAAGTGCTATGAGAGTGTATAATAACGTGTATAAACTGCTGTAGAGTCAGGGAAAAACTTCACTTCAGAAGTGGTTTGGGCTGACTGTTAAAGAATGAGCAGGACTTGGCCAGGTGTGGTGGTTCATGCCTGTAATCCCAGCACTTTGGGAGGCTGAGGCGGGCGGATCACGAGGTCAGGAATTCGAGACCAACCTGGACAACAAAGTGAAACCCCATCTCTACTAAAAATACAAAAATTAGCCGGACCTGGTGTTGCGTGCCTGTAATCTCAGCTACTCAGGAGGCTGAGGCAGGAGAATAGCTTGAACCCGGGAGGTGGAGGTTGCAGTGAGCCGAGATTGCGCCACTGCACTTCAGCCTGAGCGAGAGAGCAAGACTCTATCTCAAAAAAGAAAGAAGAAAAAAAAAAAAAAAAGGAACAGGACCTGACGAGGTGGAGAGAAAAGTGGGAGAAAATGGCCATGTAAAGGCCCCGAAGCAGGAGAGTGCCAGGAAGGCCAGGGACATGGTATGAGCTTAATGGGATTTGGCAGGGGCAAGATCCTGTATGGCTTTGCAGGTTTTGGTCTATGCTAAGAACTGTCCCAAGACGTACCCAAAATGTATATGATTTTAGGGACTCAGTGGTCAAATATTTATGGACCACTTTCAAGTGTATTTAGAACCCTGTGGAAGGATGGCACAGACTTCTAAGTTACAGTTTTAATAATAAGTTTTAATAACTCAGTTCTCAGTTATCTATAATAAATTGGAGAGATGCAACACCTACACACAAAACAACTAATAAGCAACCCAACATATAGAACAATTAGTGTGATGACTATAACAATAATATGTGAAATGTTAAGTTGTGTGCTACAAATACAGAATGGCATGTAATTAGCTAATTGTTTAATACAGTAATCAGCAATAATATTGATGTGAGGTGTAAAGTTGTGTGCTGCAAATACAGAATGGCATGTAATGGTATGTAACTAGTTAATACTGTTCATTCTGATCATTATTGGGATTTAAGTCAGGAATTAATGTGATTTTATTTTATTTTATTTATTTATTTATTTTTTGAGACAGAGCCTCTCTCTGTCGCCCAGGTTGGAGTGCAGTGCCGCGATCTCTGCTCATTGTAAGCTCCGCCTCTCGGGTTCACGCCATTCTCTCGCCTCAGCCTCCGAGTAGCTGGGACTACAGGCGCCTGCCACCACGCCCAGCTAATTTTGTTTTTGTATTTTTAGTAGAGATGGGGTTTCACCATGTTAGCCAGGATGGTCTCGATATCCTAACCTTGTGATCTGCCCACCTCGGCCTCCCAAAGTGCTGGGATTACAGGCGTGAGCCACTGCACGCCCAGCTGTGATTTTTTTTTTTTTTTTTTTTTAATGATGGTCAGACTCATCCATGAAGCAGGTGGCAGTGTCTTAACAATATGCGTATTGTCAGGCCCGAGGGCCTCTTCCATCTTTGTCAAAGGGAGTGCCAACCTCTCTTTTCATATAACACAAATTCATGTGATTTTAATGAGTGTTGTTTCTATGATTATATTCAGATGTCATAGTTTTTTTAAGCCTTTTTCTTTTTTTGAGATGGAGTCTCGCTCTGTCGCCCAGGCTGGAGTGCAGTGGCACGATCTCGGCTCACTGCAAGCTCCGCCTCCCGGATTCACGGCATTCTCCTGCCTCAGCCTCCCGAGTGTCTGGGACTACAGGTGCCTGCCACCATGCCCGGCTAATTTTTTTGTATTTTTAGTAGAGATGGGGTTTCATCGTGTGTTAGCCAGGATGGTCTCCATCTCCTGACCTCGTGATCTGCCCGCCTTGGCCTCCCAAAGTGCGGGGATTACAGGCGTGAGCCACGGCACACGGCCAAGCCTATTTTTTTGTCTTATTTTATAATTGAAAACAGTGATTACTGGAATTTACTTTGAACAAGTGCATTATCAAATTAAATATATGAGTGTCTGTTATGTTCAGGATATGGTGCTTGACATTGAAACAGATGGACTCTTGCCTTAAATGTAGGGTAGTAAGTAGTACAAGGCTAATGTGATATATCAGATCTAAGGTATATGTAAATATGATTTTTAACAATTTCAGAAGAAAGGGAAGATTGCAGCAGGTAGAGCTGGTCTAGGAAGGCTTTTTAGAGGAACGATGTGATTTGAGGCTTTATGTTAGCAAGATATAGGAGGATGATTTTGTTCAGAAAGCACAGGAAAGATGAGTGCTATTTGAAGAGAGAAGTTAGTGTTCGTCCTTTCAGTGCCAGGTTGATGAGTGTTTGCCGCTTTTTGGCAGAAAACTTTTAGCCTTTAATTACTAATGACCTGCCTCATTTTTTCTTTCCTTTTCTTAGTGAAGCTATTAAGTACCTCACAGAAGCTCTGCAGTCTATCAGTGAATTAGAGCTTGACGATAAACTGGAAAAGATAATTGATGCAGTTGAAAAGCAACCCTGTAAGTAATATTTTCTGATAACTCCTAAATTGTTAATATAGTTCTGCATCTTCAGTTAGATGTATAGATTTAAAGTGAAGTTGAGGCTTCAGTATTAAGATGTCCCAGTGTTATAAGATGTATGCATGGTAGCATTTCTTCCCAAGGGGTAATACCTTTAGTTTATTTTAATTTTTTTTTCTTTCTTTTTTGGGACGGAATCTCGCTCTGTTGCCCAGGCTGGAGTGCAACGGCGCTATCTCGACTCACTGCAACCCCTACCTCCCAGGTTCAAGCAATTCTCCTGTCTCAGCCTCCTGATTAGGTGGGATTACAGGCACACACCTCCATGTTGGGCTAATTTTTTGTATTTTAGTAGAGACGGGATTTCACTGTGTTGTTCAGCCTGGTCTGGAACTCCTGGGCTCACGTAGTCCACCCGCCTCAGCCTCCCAAAGTGCTAGGATTACAGGTGGGAGCCACCATGCCCGGCCTTCTTTTTTATTTTAACTGTTGAAGACATCCAAACCTTTAATTTAGTTGGAACCTCAAGATATTCCCCAAGGGCCCTTTTATAGTTCCTCTCCCCCAGTGGAGGTGTCACCACCGTGTTTCCTGCACTTGGCTTCTGATTTTGATCTGGTCCTTTACAGTCACTTTGTCTCTCCTAGTGGCTATTACCATGTCATATTTAAGTGAGGTACTCCTAAATGTTTGGGAGGAAAAAAGAGTAAAGTAAGCAGAGCTGCCATCTCTTCTTTTTTTTTTTTTTTTTTTTTGAGGCGGAGTCTGGCTCTGTCGCCCAGGCTGGAGTGCAGTGGCGCGATCTCGGCTCACTGCAAGCTCCGCCTCCCGGGTTCC